ATTAATATGAATAATAATATTATATTTTCTTAAGTTATATATATATATATTATACGTGTATTCTAATATGAAACATTTAACAAGATGACTACATTGAACGAGTAAACGAGTTTATTTATATTTTATAAATTAATCGTCGTCGTTGATGTTGTTGTTGTTGTTGTTGTTGTTCTTATTAATCGACGATTTATTTCTTTTTAACTTAAACATTAATATATTTTCCTTTCCATTTTCGTTTCTAAAACTTTCCGATTTCCCTTTCATCTTTCTCTCTTAATTTATCACACATTTTTTTTCGTATTTATATATTATATAAATTATATTATTATTATTTAAATAAATTCTATATCGAAGCACCACCTTTATAAGAGTTTTCTTTTTTTTTTCATATATTTTCTTTTCTTTTTAAAGACGTAAGTAGGGTGCGTCTCGCTCGTTAATTAACACCTTGTTTGTTCTTTTTTTTTTTATTGTTGTTGTTGTTGTTGTTATTATTTTATTCACCCTACGTTCGTCTTGTCGAAATGAAAAAAAAAAGAAAAAATAGAAAACAAGTATGTCCAATTAATTTGGACATACTTTTCCTTGCGTGAAAAGTAAATGAATTTTTTCCTACTAAACGAAACGATCCTTTCGCACGTTTCGTTTCAACCCCTTATCTTAAATTTTTCTTTTCTTTTCTTTTTTAAGCACCATCTCATCTTCGCGAGATACTTTCGTAAAAATATAATTATTTTAAATTAAATTATTTTGTCTCTTTTCGATTAGTAGTCGAATTTGAAAAGGAAAGTGAGAGACAGATAGATAGATAGATAGATAGAAAGAGAGAAAGAGAGAGAGAGAGAGAGAAAGAAAAAAAAAAAATTTCTTTCCATAGAAAATCATTCGTCAAAATATTTAACAATTCTCGTTTCACTCGCTCGTCTACATTTCAAAACGCGACGAATTAGTATGAACTCCCCGTATATTGTGCAATTGAAAATTTTTTTAATTAAATTGACGACGATGAAAAATAGGAAAATTTTACGAGAAGAGTAAT